AATTCATATGTATTACATATCTAACACCCAAACTTTAATTTTTACATAAAAACCATGTATTACATATCTAACACCCAAACTTTAATTTTTATATACATATCTAACACCCAAACATTAATTATTGCATAGAAACCGCACAATTCTTATGTATTATATATCTAAACACCCAAATTTCAATTTTCACAAACAAACCACACAATTCTTATATATTACATATCTAACACACAAACATCAATACATTCCACACAACTCTTATGTATTACATATCTAACACCTAAACTTCAATTTTTACATACATTCCACTCAATTCCTATGGATTAATTATTTAACACCCAAACTTCAATTTTTACATACAAACCACGCAATTCTCAATTTTTACATACAAACCACACAATTCTTATGCATTACATATCTAACGCCCAAACTTCAATTTTTTTACTTACGAACCACACAACTATTATATATTACATATCTACAATCTAAAATAGAATGTTTACATACATTCACTCAATTCATATGTATTACATATCTAACACCTAAACTTCTCTTTTTACGTACATTCTACTCAATTCTTATGTATTACATACCAAAAACCTAAACTTCATTTTTTTTCATGAAACCATGAAACCACACAATTCTTAGTTATTACATATCTAACACTTATGCTTCAAGTTTGACATACAAACCGCACAATTATTATGTATTACATATCTACCACCGGAACTATAATTTTTACATATATAAAAACAAACTAAAATTCAGAAAAATAATGAACGTGAAGATCCAAAACAAGTAAGAGAACTTTAAGTAAGGTTGAAGAGGAAGAATACTCGCCGGAGCCTCAAATTTGCAGGTGCAAACTCCCCTAACATATCACACGATAGAGAACAAATTTCTCTTTTTTGTGAGCAAATATTACATGTGGTAACTGCAAGTCCGGATGACTGTTCAAATGGGCCACCTTATGACACACAACGACAGCATCTGGACGTACAGTCAGCCACACGTAATAACATACCTATTAGATCCGAAGAAAGTTTAAACTTGTTTTATTATAAGTTATTATGTTCGAAGCATGAAAATTTTAAACATTTTTTTTTTTTGGGCATAAACTCTCTACTTTCTCTGAAAATCTTAAACAATTTCCCCCATTCAGCATTATCTCATCCGTAAAGACAAAATTAAATAGATTATGCCAGATTGCTCCAAGCCTCAAAAGACAACATTGCACAAGCCGTGCGCCAACCCCTCTCAATTCACTTACACACCAAGCAAACCATTAAATATTCCTTACTTAAATCTCATCTCACTATAATTGTTTAACCAAACAATCAATGTCTTCTAACATTTCGTCTTCTTCTTTATTCTCCTCCCATCCTCATCTAACAACTTGGAGCATGGAAGACTTCAAAAATCAGGCCGCCGGTTGCGCCGTGCTTTCGTGCTGCTGTCCATGTCTTCTGCTTCAGCTTGGAGTCTTCATCTTGTTCAGGTTGCCTCAAAGGCTGGCGGTGAAGGTGAAGAAGTTGGTGGTAGCAAGGAAGATTAAGAAAAGGAAGGTGGAAAAGAATGAGGGGATGGAAGAAGAGGAGATAGATGTTGATGGAGGAGGTGAAGTTGCTGTAGTTAAGGTTGAAGGAGATGAGGAGGTGTGGGAGGTGTTGTTGGGTCATGGAGTTTTCTGGTTTGGAAGCTTTTGGGGGGAGGGTGGATCTATGGAGAATGTTGAGGAGATCCAATTATGTAGGTTGGAGGCCATTGGAGCTATTGTGGGTTGGGCTCGGAGTTTGGAGGAAGGAGAAGGTTGCTACGAGAAGAGATGATGAATTCAGGAGTTTTGCTCTGGTTTTTGGTGAGGGAAAGATGGAGGAACTTGAGGAAACCGGAGGAGGGATTTCTACCTTTGTAAGGGTTGGTGACATGCCCACATCAAGGAAATTTGTTAGCTCCGGTGAACAAGTGGTTTGGAAAGGGGAGATGATCCGGCCGCATCATCATGCATTATGCATGAACAGATCATCACCGATGTTCGAACGTGCGGATATCGGTCGTACGAACACCCAACGTAATAATTTTTCCCTAGAAAGTTAATCTAGTTTGATTTCAATGTGGTTGTACATATGATTGACATCCTTGGATAGATGGTATACATACAATGTATCATGGAAGCAATGATTCAGAATAATGCCAATTAATTTTGGAAAATGTCTATTTACAAATTATTTATGAGAGTGCATGAGAATTGATTTATAATGCATATTTAAGATGATGATGAATCTATGAGAGCTTAGAATATATAAAATTATTTCGATGATAATAAATATATATTTGGAGTTCTAATAATATTACTTGATGTAAATGATTATAAAAACTGTTAAGATATATATGTAAAATTTGGAGTTCTGAATATATAGAAGAAGCTCAATAATGTTTTTCTTCCACTTATTACAAAATGTTAGCTCAAGCTCAAGATTTAAAAGAGATAATTATTTTTAAATTTAAATTTTAATTTTAAAATAAATATAATTTTTAAATATAATGAAGTTATAAAAACTGTTATACAGTCATACTAACTAAAAGATTAAATTGACAAAGGATCTGGCCTATCACTCTAGAATCATTAATTCTACGCCCATCAAAACTTATCTCCCTATGTATTTGCACTCTCCCTTGGATGTGGCATCCCCCATCCAAAGTTTAGTGTGGTACACACTTGTTGGTGAAATCATAGCCCTCTCTGATTTTTATGTTTTGTAATGGATTTTAACATCACAAATGACAAATATGCAAAATTTAAAACCGGTGAAAATACAATCACAAATTCATGAAATAAAAGAAATCTTCAAAACATTCTAACCCTACAAGTGATTACTTCTTATTGCAAGGAGAAAAAAAAAAAAATACTCAGAATTCATGAGGATAACAAAACAAAACATATATATGTATATATTAAAAAGCCAAGTTTACAAAACAATACTTAAACAAAAGTACGACTACTTGTCTCAAAATTTTCCCCAAGTAATTCTGTAATTTTTTCTAACTGAATTTAACTCCACAAGACCACAATCACTCACAATTTCAAAGACTCATCACACTTTCACTATCGTGGTCGCCCACTCCAATGGGTGGTCCAACCTACTTAAAAATGACTCAACACACACACACCTTTTCATTTGGAATTCATCCTATATTTAGAGCTCTGAAAATCACCAAGGGTTGCTTCAGACACATCTTCAAAATTTGTTCAAATTAATTGAATATAAAGGTAACCGCTTCTGGCGCTTAGACAACCAACTGCCGCGCCTAGGCGCTAGCCTTTAGAAAAACCTGACACCTAGGAGTTAGGCCAAATTTTCTCCCATGGCTTCTTTAGCTTTTTTTTGGTTCTTTTTGATACATTTTTGCTCCTTTTGCTCTTAAACTTCATTTCTTGCACCTGCAATAAAAACCACATAAAATATCTTTCATTAAAACACAATATCCTTAAAAATGAACGTAAAATGTACATTTAAAATAGGTAATTTTAAAGTATGTCAATTCCTTCAAACTTAAACGTTACTTGTCCTCGAGTAACCCTTTTACTTTTGTAATCAAATATAATAGCATATGATAGTAGGTTTCACTTAAAGACTTTTATAATTTTGTTCCCTAAATGTTATAGTAAAACTTTTAGAAAAATTTTCAATAACACAGGTTAGAACTAAAACGTAAGGATATTCAGTAATCAAGTTAGGAATTCTGATTTTCCATTCATTTCAAAAATAACTGTAATGTTTCTTTTCTTAGTGTTGGCATCGGCTGACACTTGTATCTGTTGTTTTGTCATTGTTGTCATGTTTTGTTTGCAAGGTGGTTGTATTTTACTATTGGTTATTGTTTTATTATTGTATGCACACCATTGAAACTACTGTATATGATTTCTACTATATTCATTGATCTTCTTTGTTGAAGGAAAGCAATCACCCACTATTTTTGTTTCTTTTAGGAAGCAAGAGTTGCGATATCAATTGTAGTTATTCACTAGATGAAAACCTTAAAAATAGAGAAGAACACCTCCACACTGTCAAAAAGCTTTAGCAAGAATGTTGGCCTTTAAATTAAAATTTATATGGACAATGACCATCCTTCATTTTCTATTTGACCTTTTATTGATCACATAATTGGCATTAAGAATTTTATTAACTTTAGCTTTAATAAGCCGAATCATCAAATTAGCGATTCTTTTTGATATCGGGGTTAACCCAAATTATAATTGAAAAAAACAAATATTACTATTGAAAGTAAATATGTGGTTACAATTAAACACACTTGAAAGGAAAAAAAAAATACAAACTCACTCTAGGGTTTGATCCATGGTTGGTAGAAGTTTGTTAGGTGGTCGGTAAAAGGATGTAGGTGGCTGAAATGGGTTGAGATAGTAAAATGAGGGGTTGAAACGGTGGTGGTGGCAAAGAATCAGTGAATCGACTCAAAATAGCTAGGAACGATTACTTCTGAGCGGCGACAACGAGCGAGAATTATGGAGGTAGCGGCGGAGAAGACGTGGGAATGCGGGACTACCAAAGGAGACTATCCTGAGGCTATGGTCGTGAGGAGGATGGTTGGACGATGAGTAACTGCAGTAAGAATGGCAAAAGTATTATTGTCGGGGTTGTGCAGTGAGGAGGAAGGCTTGACAGTGAAACGAAAGAGATTATTATTGTCGGGGTATTGTCGGGGTTGTGCAGTGACGAGGAAGGCTTGACAGTGAAACGAAAGAGATGCAGGAAGAAGGGGTAATGAATATAATCACCACCTGGAGATCAAGATACAGATACATCACCTGAAATCTTAGGATACAACCCTCAAAAGGAAGAAGACATTTTGATGGTTGTCCTGATACAAAAACACAAAAAAAAAAACTAACCCTAATATATTAAAAAAGCGAATAGATAATAATATGATAACTACGAGTGGCACTATAGGATCGACTGACCTCATGACCTCAAAATTACCTAGATCAACATAAAATAGCCAGGAACAAATGCTTCTGGGCAGCGACAATGAGCGGGAATTATGGAGGCAACGGCGGAGAAGACGTAGGAATGCATGACTGCCAAATGAGACTATCCTGAGATGGTGGTCGTGAGGAGGATGGCTGGACGATGAGGAACTGTAGGAAGAACAGTAAAAATATTATTGTCGGGGTTGTGCAGTGAGGAGGAAGGCTTGACAGTGAAACGAGAGGGATGCAATAAGGGGTAAGGAATATAATCACCACCTGGAGATCAAGATACAACAGATATACCAGCTGGAATCTTAGGATACAACCGTCGAAAGAAAGAAGATATGTCGATGGCTGATACAAAGCACACAAAAAACTAACCTTAATATATTAAAAAAGTGAATAGATAATAATATGATAACTACGAGTAGCCCTATAGGATCAACTGACCTCATGACCACAAAATTACCTAAAACAATTCGCTCTAATCATGAATCAACTCCCACTTCAGTCGAGGGTAATCTCACAGAGATATCCTACGCCAGACACCTAAGGTTGGGGAGCTTCGACCTCATTCATTGAAGCCTTCGTCTACATTGTGAAGTGAGCGAGGTTGTTGTAATCTTTTTGGGTTGAAGAGTACTCAACCGCGACGATATGAGCACCTCAGTCACACTGTCAGTTGCACTATCCCCCAAAACACATGAGAAACTTTTCCCACTTGCAAGCAACGATTCATATCAATCTAGTTTTCTGGGAGCTCACTACTAAAATGAGTTGGGTCTACTTGTCACGTATGTACTGTTAGATACTTTCAAAGTAACAAATATTGGCTCAACCTGATTTGAAGCGAGGGTAGCTTGACTCTCCCCGAATGATGGCGACTATAACAATGAGCTATCAAACAAGATGTCCTGAAGCTCACTTTGTGTCGCCAGCTCTGTATCTGAAGCTGACTCTCCTATCTCGCTATCCTCTATCATCACTAAAACGGATCCTCTCCATATTTCTTGCTAGCATAAGCACGTGTAACCTTAAACTCCACAGAAAGTAGTGTGTAGGTGTTTTTGCACACATCACGTTGAGTCCTACGATCACATTGTCACGGTCTCCCTAGCAAAAAATGGCAGACATCCATGGGAAGCATGTCACACTAAACCTAATCCTGCAACTAGCTCCCAATAGAAAAATCCACGTGACTCCTATTGTCAATGTTGACCCTATTCTCTTTTTTCAACCATGTTAGGGAGTACTTCTGGGCATGTCTCTGAGTCATGAAGCTCAATTTGTCCATCATATGTGTGGACACCATGTTCTTAATGCTCCCTCCATCAAAGATGAAATTGCACATCCTTCCTTTCACAGTGCAACATGTGTAGAATATATTGTGACAAAACTACTATTGCTCCCTCGTATTCTCTGTATGTAGGACCCATCAAACCACAAGAATCTCATCCTCATTCAAGATAAGGCTACTCTTCAACATTTTACTCAACTGCCTCTTTGTCGCTAACTTCCTTTACTGCACCCTGCTCGGTGAAAGACATAACTTGGCTAGTCAGGCAATTTGAAATGATGTGACCAAAATCATGACACCTAAATCATTTTCTGATTGAGACTACAATAGACGTGTTATTCTTTTCAGGCTTTTTCTCACTCAGAGTGGCTTTATCCTGCTCCTTACCAACCTGCTCCACCTTCCTGAGGCATGGTCCTCTTGAGGTCTCCAACTATGGGTTTCTTTCTGACAGGAGGTGGTTATTTGCTCAACTTCTATTGTTCTTGTATTTTAGTGCTAAAATCAGCACGTCCCCAGTGTCCAATAACATTGTAGCTGGACCACATTTTTGTTGGTGGACTTCAAGCCTCTCAAATATTTGGCTATGATGTGCTCCTTTGGCTACTTTAGCTCACTTCAATTTAACCTGCAAAAATTCTACTGCATACTTTTCCCTTGAGAGCTTATGTTGCAAGCAGTGGAGCTTCAAGAATATTTCCTAGCGGAAGTGTTGGGATAGGTACTATCACTGTATCTCCCATTTATTTTTCTCCGAAAAGTGATTTTGTCCCATTATTATATTTATCTATCCTTCAGGTTCTCCAACCATAAATAAGAATTCTTCTTTAGCTTAATGGTGGCAAGCTTCACACTTCAATCATCTAACACCTCCTTGTATTCAAAGATCCGCTTAACATTCTGCATCTACTCGAAGAAATCATCCAGATACATTCTCCCCTTGAAGTCTGATAGATCTACTTTCATTCCCAGATCTCCATATTCTCCAATAGACATATCATCTATGTGTTTTCTAACAGGCACTACACCTTTGCATCCTCTAACAAGCTTCTCATTTCTGTGTCCTCTACCTCATTATGTATTTTCCAATAGTCACTTCAGCTCGAGGTCTTCATTGAAAATGTACCCCAAAATATTGTTGCTTATCTTTTTCTCCACTAGAATCATCCCTACAGAAGACATTTGAATCACCTTCATGGATTTAACTATTATAGTCAACGATGATCTCGCCTTGATAGAGTAGTCATTTTATTCAGTACTTGACAGAGTAGCCATTTTTTCTCCACTAGAATCATCCCTACAGAAGACATTTATGTCACCTTCATAGATTTAACTATTATAGTCGACGATGATCTCGCCCTGATAGAGTGGTCATTTTATGCAGTACTTGATGGAGTAGCCATCATATACCGTTAATGGTAGGTTCATGATCAGATTCTGACTTGTCTCTCCAATGATATGGTTGGGGTTTTAGGTAAAGGAAAGTGGAAGTAGGGTAAAGATAATACTTTTAGGGGTAATATGGTATGCTAGAAATCGAAAGATCGAACTAGAATTAATCTAGCTCTGATAAAGCTTTCAACCAAGCATATCGTAACACTTCATTTTAATAAGTCTAACATCATTCCAACAATATATGAAGATAGATTTCATGCAAACATCATATCATAATTAGACACCCAAATAATTACCAAAACAGATCAAGGAGATGCACAAATCTTGTAAAAAGGTTTGTTTGTTTGGTTTTTTTTTTTTTTTTTGAAGCATTTACGTAAATCCCACCAATCTCCTATGTATTTACATATCCACTACCAAAGCTCTACTTTCCAAAATATTTTATCACATAAAAAAAATCATTATTTTAACTTATTAAAATTTGAAATGCACATTTTCATGCATAAATTAAATGCCTTAACTTAGAAATGGGAATACATGAGTTTTTAGTGGTATGCATGTAAAGTCTTTCCTTTCTACATAGAAAAATCTCACTATATAAAAAACTAAAACCTGATCAGCTTTTCAAAAGCGTGGACAATTATTAACACTTGAAGAGCTAATTCAAAGCTAAGCTTTATTCAAGGAACGATATGAATGAAAGCTCTTTGAAAAATGCCATGACTGAAATAACTGAAACTTCTTAACTAGGACCAAGGGATAAGGTATTCCATTCTACTCATATTTCTACAAAGTTGCAAAGAAATATTACATTCTCAAGTGTTTATCCGCTTCATTGACTCTTACTAAAAATTATAATTTTGTGCTCACTTCATAAAATACATGAGATTAATTGTCCTCAAAAAGAAAGAAAGAAAGAAAAAAAAAAAAAAAACTATTCTTGGGCTAACTTTCTCGGAAAATTATTGCATACGGCGAACGTATCATAGCCATCCCTTTTAATTTTTTTTTTAAATAATAAAAATGAGACCCACTGTCATATAGACTTTGTTTGGATGAGTTTATGGATGATTGTTCCAACTTTCTCACCCAAAAAAAAAAGTGCTAGATATCTAACATCTAAACTTATATTATTTTATCTATGCATGAAAATGTATCTTTCACCTTTTGAAAGTTAAAATTGATATTTTATATGTGATATGAAAGATTCGAGTGGTATAAATATAGAAAATAAAGAAGTTGTTAGATATGCAAATGCATGAGAATTGGGTGTTATGTAAATGCCCCAAAAATTAAATATAAAAGCAATAGCAATAATGGAGAATGAAACAGGATTGGGGGCTGCAAAAGAAATCAAGCATAACGAACCTACAAAATTTGAACTGATGCTGAACAATAATCAGAAAAAAATGAGCTCAGCAAAAGTTAAAAAAACTTCTCCTTGAGCAATGAAAGCAGAAACATTGCAAAGAATTGAAAATGCTTTTTTTTTCTTTTACAACAGAAGCTGCTGCATCTTAAAAAAGGCACCATTTCCTTAGAGCTTACCCTCATGAATTCATGAAAGCCACTACAACATACCAAACAATTATGTACAGCATTATCCAGTACTTCTGAAAAAGAGATGCTTCTTTCTCCCTTTCCTCTTCTCCACAGCCTGAAAGAAAGTAGGTTTTCAGGTTTCAAGTTGCAGATTAATATTAATAAAGAAAGATTTACATAAGTACTACAAAATTCTTTTGTATTTACATATCTAACACGTAAACTTTCATATTTATAATTATAACACTTCGGTGTCACGCATACATGAAAAGGTGTATTTCACCTTTAAAAAGTAAGTAATGGTGGTATATTTGATGTGATGTCAGAAATTTAGATCCTACCAATGCAAATACGGAATGTTTAGGTGTTAGATATGTAATTAAATAAGAATTGTGTGGTATGTATGAAAATGCCCCAAATAAAAAATGAATAAATCCAAAAAACAAAAAAATAATGAAAAGCTCAGTTAACAGAGAAAGCTATTTTGTTAGTGATATGCAAACACAACAAGGCCTCTTCCTATAAAAATCTGAGTTATAAGGAATTAAAACTCTCTAGACAAAAAAATAAATAAATAAATAAATAGTGCTTAGCAAAAACACCCAGAGCTATTTCTCATGAAAGGAGGACGGATCTGAGTAGAAAGAACAATCACATCTAAGATCAAAAACAGATGGAGGAAAATATTTACAACAAAGAAAATTTATGTAAACTTATTGACTTCGGCTCTAGCTCAAATAGAAAATTTATGGAAACTTATTGACTCCGGTTCTAGCAGAAATAACTTGCGTGCCTGCCTCATTACATTGAGAAATTCTAGCATACAATAAAATAAACCAAACTGATCAAATCTAATCTAATTAAATCACATTAAAAACAAATCCAAATCAAATGAATAAGATGTGGAGCACATTGTAAATAAAGGTATTCGAGGAATATTTATTTTAGAAGGACGAACTAAGTGTTGCATACCGTTTTAATGTCAAATTCGTCGCAACCGCCAAGCTTTATTTGGCTATCATTCAGGTAGGTTGTAACCTAATTTTTTGTGTGAGTATATGTATATAGATACTCTAGAGAAATTTGAATAAGATGCGCAAATCTTGCTCTTTAAAGTTGAAATTCACCTACTTAAAGCACGAAAAACACCACTAATGAAGGAAGCGTCTGTTCAACTATTTTTTATATGAGAAAATATTATGAATACTTCTAAGTTCTATTAATGACAGAGACAATAATTACAATGCACTTGGTTCAAGACTCAAGCTTCACATTTTAACATGAATCATACTTCAAATTGTCTCATAGATAGTCCAATGTTTCTTTCAGCCACAGTTTTCAGTTCTAGAGTAACTGATCAAAGTTCTCCATAAATTCCACGCGCCATAAAAAATCTAATAGCTCCTTTGACAAATATATCCTCTGCTATCAGAGTATGAACAAAATATTTAAACTTGCAATAAATTCTCAACTAAAGTTTTCAATTGACAATTTTTTGAAAAACTTAAAAGACAATGTATTTACATATCTATACCTAAACTTTATTATTTACATTTATAAAACCCAATTATTTCATCACATAAAAAATACCACTATTTTAACTTTACAAAGTGAAATATACCTTTTCATGTACAGGTAAGGTGGCATATATATAAAAATTGAAGTTTAGATGCTAGCTATGTAGATACATAAGAAGTGAGTGGTATGCATGTAATTCTTCCAAAAAAAAGAATAATAACAGAGTACACCAATTTATAGGAAACTAAAGGCCATAGATTGAGGGGTGACAAAGGAATAATTTAACCCGGTGTGGAAGAATATCTGCCAACTTTGTTTTGCAAAGTAATGACTAAGTTTGTATTAGCAACCTCGATTGAATAAAATAGAATTTAAACAAACAGCCTACCAGCAATTACTGTAGATCAAAACCTGGAAAATATCAAGTCACCTCGCAGCAATTAATAAATGATCACTCCTCTCTATAAACTCGGCAGCTAGTGGTTGGGCATGGGCATGCCATTGTGTGAATTAGATAGCAGTAGGGAGATAGAATAACCAAAGTCATTAAGGGAAAAAGCATTCAATCCCCTCTTGACTAAGCCATTTCCTCAAGCCTCGGAGCTTCATGCATCCTTATTCCTTAAAAATATCTTTTGCAACAATGTAGGGACTTTTATTTGATGTCTTAAGAACCTGAGCTAACTCGGAGAGAAATTTGACTAGGAGAGATCACCTAGAATTAAGTACCACAAATGTAACCCATGTGTATATCTATACATGTGAGGTCTATCTATACACGTGTATATTTATATATATGTATATATGTATATGTATGTATATATGTATATGTATGTATATATGTAGATATAAGTTGGTATATATATGTATACATATATTAGGTTACATTTTGTTTAGCTATTCTAATGTTATAGGCCAAAGCATAAGAATTGAAGAAAACATGTAATCATAAAGTAATAATTAATTTAAATTTATTATGGGATAACCTTGGTCAAATAAGAAAGCACCTAAGTTAACAATTGTTATTTTTGTGAAACCCTTATTTAGGTGTTGTGTGTTTAATGGAGTATACATTATGTAGGAACTTTGAGTTAGTCTCAACTGGTCTTATGGCTTAGAAATCAACTGAAGTTAAAATATCATATAACACACTCGAGGTAACTATTATTTATTATGGTTAAACATACCGTTTTATTGTTAGTGCCATTATATTTATTATTTGTATTAGACTCTTGAATATTTTTTATGTTTTCAATCAAACAATTTTTTTTATCAATCATACTATTAAGATTACGTTACTCATAATATATGCCAGCAGATTTTATTTTAAAGTTCACATTGAATTGCATTAATAACCTATAATTTAATCTTACTTTATTGTTGTATAGATTCCTATTTATTCAAGTCATTCTTATTGTTGCAGTATTTATTTTTCTTGCACATTATCTCTATTAAATGCAATAGTTTTTATTTCTACAACAGATATATATATATATATATATATATATATATTGTTTTTAAAAAAGAATGACCGGAGCCTATTATATGACCCCCCAACTACTTTCATGTGCCTAATTATTGGAGCACCACCCTCACTACCGGCAAACTGGCTAGAGGAGGATTTGAGCCCGTGACCGGAGGGGACTTACGACCTTCAAAGAGGCTGCTCAAGCAACAGGCCACGACTAGCGACACACACACACACACACAGATCGATAGTGGATAGTGGTTATTTACTGGATTTAATTTGTCAATCATTTGTTATAACTTTTCTCATAACAAGTTTTACGAGAATACTTGATGAACCCTCATCACAAAAGAAAACCATTCAACATTAGTTGTTTCAGTATTTTAAGTATGTATTAATTCTAATTGTATTTATCTTAGTTTTTTATTTTTAGTTTAATCATTTGTCATTTTAGTTTTCATCTCAATTAGTTCCACATTATTACTGGTGTTCTATTAGTTGCTGACTTTTACGAATTGAAATAAAATTATTTTTTCTTGAACTCTCGCAGTTTATATTTTTTGCATATGAAACTTTCTTTTTGAGAATAATACTAAAGTTTTAAATAGTTTCATCGAGTCCCATGTTTTCAGGGTGCACCGCCTTTCAGACTCATGGTATACCAATCATAATGTTTGTAAATTTATTATATAAAAGGATCAATAATCTACCTAAAACACCTCTAAACCAAGATGGTGGAAGCTTTGAAATCCCGCCCGCAAACTAGCCTGCAAGATGAAGCTTGCGAACGAAATTGTTGTGAGAATCTTAAGGCTGTGAATTGCATGTGGAAATGTGACGTACTAATCTGCTGGAGACATGAGCTTTCAGCTATAAACAAAATGAATTAAGCCAATATACAGGCCTAATCTTTTAATCCCAACAACGTCCCTTCTCAAAGATTGCCTCGTAAAAGGCTGTTTTCGCAGCAGTCCATCATATCATCCTGAGAAATTACTTATGTTTTCCATTATCAAACATATAAAACATATCCTAAATGCGGATAAAATCATATCATTCGAGTTATACATCAAAACAAGTTCAGAAAGTTATATAATAATTTATTTGAGACCAAATCCACAATTATTCTATAAGGGCAGCCAATATTAGTACCAGATAATTCTTAAATACTTGGAAAGTAATATAAAGAATAAGCATAAATCCGCAAGTTAAAATGGAAAAGAAGAAATAGTACAAAATAATTACAAGGAACCCAAAGACAAATAATGCAATTTGATATAAAATATAAAAATATATATATTAAAAAAAATTAGTAAAATATATTGCGAACAGTTTGAAGTAATACCATCTTTTTGAACAATCTCATGGTTAGCACAACTGTGTCTCTTAACCTAACAAATAAAAAAACAAATAAATGAACCAGCAAAATTTATTGCTTAACATAAAGTTAAACATAGAATGGAAATACTATCAAAACAGAAAGTTCATATCATGTAATAGAAAATATTGCTTTCTATATATCATGAGAAAGCACAATTTTAAACAGAAAAAACATTCTTCCAATATAAATAACAGAAAGTATTAAGTAGTTACCAGCTGTCTCTGGCCCTCAAAAGATATTCAGCACCATTAGAACATTGGATTGAAAATTCTGTTACATGTCCGCAGGGAATAGTTATCTGCACAAAGAAGACTACAAGCTGTTTCCATATGTGGATTAAAAAGACACTACGTGCCTATGAAATTTTGCAGTAAGAGAATACTCACAATTGTCAACCGTCGGGGGAAAAAAAATCTAAAAGCCCAAAAGTAGCGCACAACTTCTGATGTATATAATTAAAATAAGTGGTTCTATATTTTACGTCGGGCATTTATTCAACCATGTACAATAACTACAAATGTACAATTATAGTGTATCAAAGACTAGTTTCGCCTGTTTCAAACTTATAGAAGGCTATTTCCAAACTTGGACCAAAATAATTATCAAAATCATTTTCATCATCATTAGCCTTCTCCAAATTATTCATGGCAATTTAAAAAGTGAACAAAAAACTCTTCTGCGTCCTGAGGAAGAAAAGAGCACAAACCTTTCAAAATTGGTAGTGAAAGAATACTCTCAATTGCTAGACATAAAATAAATAAATAAATAAAATAAAATAATAAAATAAAAGCCTAATAGTTGAGCACAAAAGTTTCCTTAAATTATTTTGTAGCTTACATTCGCTTGTGGACGAGAACCAAGTACAATGACTTCATAAAAGTAAATAAATTTATAAATAGAGGGGGGCAAATAATAGTTCAGATGATGAATTCCCTTGTTTTAAGCATTTACAAGGCCATTTCCAAACTTTGCATCAAATCCATTAGCAGTACCATTAATCATCATCATATTTTTCATAACCATCATCACTATCATCATCAATATCATCACTATCATCATCAATAACATTATATAAACTATTTGGTTCAGGCTTTATAACCCTTCTCCATTTATTACAATTGAGTCCTAAAAGTGCCATTTATCACATTGAGTCCTAAAAGTGATGCCAACTTTACTTTATACAAAACTTTTGTCACAATTTCAAACCATGTCCCATCCATTCTATATCTTTTTGCTCCGACTCATTCAACAATTATTACAATGTCCAACTTAATGGATGCACTTTCCTCTGTTAAACATATGCAAACTATCTAAGCCGTTTCTTTTAAAATTTAGCAGCTATATATATGCTCTTCAATATGATCATTTCACTCTCTTATCATTTCTGCTATTAAACATAGCTCATTTGGTTAAATTGCTCAGCTGAAAAACGTCATACTCGAGACACTTAACTTAGTGATTGTTTTATTTCCCAATTCCTTAATCATAGAACATTGCTCATCTTATCACATTTTCAAAAGTTTACATTTACACTATGTAGGCTCCAAAAATTCCCATCGGGCTCTTCTAAGATGATTTTTAATATGAGTTAAATTTTAAAAGACAAATTAGATTTTAGACAAAATATCATCCGATAGATTTTGCCTTCATTTTGCAAAGGCTTTATGACTTGGTTCTCATAAGGGCAAGCCTCTGTGGTTAATTCTCCCTTCCAATAAAAAGAGAATTTTTTATTAAGATTACTTGCGTCTAGCTGCTAAGTACTCCACAGATAGTAACAACTTATCTGCTAAGTACTGCTAAAATTATCACAACTAGCATAAAGCGGATAAATGGAGGAATGATGATGAACCCGATCAAGCTATCATGATTTCATTGTCCTGAGTTATTGTACGCTCTAGTCTAGTTAAAGGAAATGATTAACCTAATGTAATTGAAGAATTATTATCAAAAGCCATCTATTGCACTATTTAAAGGAGATTTGTATTCATGGGATGAATATTTATCGAAGAGAATAATTTCAACTCAACCTTAGCTAACATAGAGTTTCAAGTCCTACTAAGTGATATAAAGATTTGAGTCCTATCAAGTGCATTTTATGATTGAACGTCCAGGTGATTTGGGCCAATGGAAAACTTACGAATTTAATTTTGACTGCTAAATAAAGGAGATTTCAAGGAGACTTAAAGGAGATTTGTATTCATGGGATGAATATTTATCGAAGAGAATAATTTCAGCTCAACCTTAGCCAACATAGAGTTTCAAGTCCTAGCATTTTATGATTGAACGTCCAGGTGATTTGGGCCAATGGAAAACTTACGAATTTAATTTTGCGTCTAGCTGCTAAGTACTGCTAAAATTATCACAACTAGCATAAAGCGGATAAATGGAGGAATGATGATGAACCCGATCAAGCTATCATGATTTCATTGTCCTGAGTTATTGTACGCTCTAGTCTACTTAAAGGAAATGATTAACCTAATGTAATTGAAGAATATTTATCGAAGAGAATTATTTCATGTAATTGAGAATGAAATCAAGTCCTAATGTAATTGAGAATTATTTCAACTCAACCTTAGCCAACATAGAGTTTCAAGTCCTACTAAGTGATATAAAGATTTGAGTCCTATCAAGCGTATTTTATGATTGAACGTCCAGGTGATTTGGGCCATTGGAAAACTTACGAATTTAATTTTGACTCTAATTTAATGATACTATAGTGCGATGAACTACACGATCAAAGGGCCTTATTATAATCATGCAATGTTATTTAGTTTATTAATAATCTAGTTAAAGATAATGACCTTCAGTTGTACGATAAGCTTTTCTAATTACGTAATTCTTATATAGGTAAGTTTGGATAATTTTATATTCTTTATATATAGTGTTAAATTTATCAAAATAACATAACAAAGTTTAATCATGTTAATTAAAGTAATAAGTTTATATTTTTATATTTTATTAAGCATACTTAAAAGTTTCATCTAACTTAATTTCAAAATAACTTAGTGAAATATAAACATTCTTATATAAAATACTTTATAATTGCTTAAGTGTTAATTAATATATTTCAAAATTGAAAAGAAATAAAAAAAGTTAAGTGTTGCCTTAAAAAGAGAAGCATAAAACAAGTCAAGTATTGCTAAGGTGAGAATGCTTAGGTGGATGAGTGCCTTCACACTTAAGAGGCAAAATCTAAAATAAATCTATCCGTGAAAGGTTTGGTATAGCTCAAGTGAAAGGCAAGATTAGAAAGAGTCGTCTTAGATTGTTTGGTCACATTAAACGTCGACAATCTTATGATCCAGTTAAAAGACTAAATGTTTTAGATCTGATTTATGTTTAGAAAGACAAAAGTAGACCTAGAAAGACTTGGGCATATTGTATGAAAAATGATCTTAATCTAAATGAAAATATGACACTCAACAGGATACAATGGAGAAAAGGGATTGATGTTGCCGACCAAAATATGACACTCAACAGGATACAATGGAGAAAAAGGATTGATGTTGCTGACCTCCCTTAGTGTGATAAAAAACTTGTTGCTGCTGTTGTTGATAAAAAATACAAAAAAGTAGCATTTTTACAAAATTCATTCCATTGGATTTACTAAATTTATTCCATTGGATTTACTGAATTTATTAGAAGAGATTGGATAGGTTACATAATATATTTTAATTAAAATTGATTTATTGTGATTTTTTAAAAAATTAGCAGTTTTTATTAAAAGTTCCTGGCTATTAGATATAAATTAGGAGGGTTTTGGCTAGTTATTGGAGCCTCTTGCACTAGTTAATTTATAATTATTTCGAGCACCTCTAAAGTAGATTATATACATATGGCCATATTTTGACAGACTATAAATATAAGATGTTATGGAGAATTGAAGTTGGGATGAACAGCTTTAAAAAATTTATTACACTTTCTCTCTCTGAAATTCTCTTCAAAGCAACAAGATTTTTGAGAAAAAGATTCAAGAGCAAATCCAAAGCTTGAGCTTATACAAAGTTATATCATTTGCAAACATTTCTTAAGTTATTAGATGCAACAGTAGATTTTATAAGGTTGCTCTTAAAATTTTTTAAGTTCTTATTTTCTTTGCAATATTATTACTAAATGAAATAGTTAAATTTAAATTTTCTTTTATATTTTTTTTACAAAGTCCTAGAAAACCTTAATTGCAAAATATAATATTGTGTATAGTAATTTTTTGGATTAATCAAGCTCGCAAGAAAAGAGCATGGGTTGTAAGGGCTATCTTTGCCTTGGAAAAAGAAAAGTAAACATTTTGTAGTAAGATTACAACAACAACAACAACAAAGCCTTAATCCCACTACGTGGGGTAGGCTACATGAATCTTTTTTCTCCATTGCGTCCTATTTAGTGTCATATTTTCATTTAGTTCTAGTAAATTAAGATCATTTTTAATACAATAAGCCCAAGTCTTCCTAGGTCTACCTCTGCCTTTCTTAACACAAGTCGAAACTAAAACATCTACTCTCCTAATCGGATCATCAGATGGTCGACGTTTAATGTGACCAAACCATCTCAGACGACTTTCTCTAATTTTGTCTGTCACAGGAGCTACACCAACCCTATCACGAATATATTCATTCCGCATTTTGTCTCTAAGTGTAAAGCCACTCATCCACCTAATCATTCTCATCTCGGCAACACTTAACTTATTATTATGCTTCTCTTTTAAAGGCCAACATTCAACGCCATAGAGCATTGCAGGTCTCACCACCACCTTATAAAATTTTCTTTTCAGTTTAAGCGGTACTTTTCTATCACACAAATGACCCAAAACATTCCTCCACTTCAACCAACTTGAATTCTACTGTTAACATCCCCATCTATATCAC